TTACCAGTGTAACTACGTGCTTAAAAATAATCGGACGAAGTTGTGGAATAAAATTAGTAAAATCAAATCTTGAAAGACCTAAAACTAGCAAATATTCGGGGTTTTTTGTTTTTGTTTTTTGTTGTTTTTTTTGTTTTTGTCTTTGTATGGAATTCAGTTTTAACTGACCGTACCGGATACCCCCAGACTTACGGAATGGAGAGTTTCCATTCAATATTCATCCTTCTTTGTGATTTTTCTACGGAGAGGGTGAACCCGGATGGGTTGACGCGTCAGCCTATACATGTATTTGTGGATACCATATTAAGTCCGGTCACGGTTGGCTTGACGCTGTTCAATTGACAATGGGGTTGTCTCCTCGGGTTCCGAGAAACGGTAGCAGCACCTGGGGACATGTGAACAAGTCAACGGGTTCTGATCAAACTCGATCTCGTTGTTGTTGTTGTTGTTGTTGTTATTGTTGTTGTTGTTGCTGTTGTTGCTGCTGTTGCGGTTGTTTCCATTATTGTTGCTGTTGGTGGGGGTGGTGGTGGTAGTGGTTGTGCTGCTGCTGCTGTTGTTACAATTAATGTGGTCGTTGTCGTTGTTGTTATTGTTGTTGTTGTCACTAACATCATCGTCGTCATCATTGCCACTGTTATTGTCGATCATTACTGTTGTTGATATTGTTGTAAATATTGTTGTTGTTGTCGTTGTGGCTACCCTCATCGTTGTTGTTTTTGTTGTGATAGTTCAGTTACGGTTTATTTCAAGCAAGCTTTACCTAAAGGACCACGAAAACAAATTAGGATGTCAATGACGCTGAAAAGAAGAAATTCAAACGAGGTCTATAGAACCAGACCACTTAATCACCAATAAGAACTACATCTTGAGCACGTACATCTCAGCTAATCAAGATATTCATATATTGTAAATTGTGCGTTTAAAAAGTGCTGGTAATTCAAGTAATAGATAATACATGAAGATAGACAGAGAGACAGAAAGACAGACAGACAGACAGACATATAGATAGATAGATAGATAGATAGATAGATAGATAGATAGATAGATAGATAGATA